CGCGAGGTGAACGCCATCGTCATGCAGCGCCTCATCGCCGTCGACGGCAAGATCCGCACCGACAAAACCTTCCCCGCCGGCTTCATGGGTGCGTGCCGCCTCCCGCATCCCTCCTAGTGGCTAACTCGTGCTTCTCCCAGGTGTTCGATGCGTGTTGACGAAACTCCCAGGAGACTTGTTGCGGGATCGTGAGTTAGTGCGTGCGCTCGAGCGACAACAGCTCGATTAGACAGGGCAAGTTCTGATTTAAGGTTGCGAGCTGTAAGGAAACCCTATCACTCGTATCACCGCTCATCTTCAGACATTCCAGATCTGCGTTCCTTCCGCTGCTGCCGCTGTAGCCGGGTCCCTGCTACAGTCATTAGGTCTCCTCGAACTCGATTCCAAGGCAGCTAGGGTTTCTGCCGTCATCGTGCCTATTATATTGCAAAGCGGCAGATGCATCAACCCCTAACACTCCCACGCTGCATCAAGGTCTTCGTAGTCGTTTTTTTCTCCGGGTGGGCCTTCCGTCTTTTATCTTAAATTTATAGACGTTTGCAGTTTGTCCACTGTACTAATCAGTTCGACTATACTCAGCTATGCCGTTAACTGTCGGCTTTTCATAAATCGACCGAAGGAGCTAGTTCGAGTTTGCAGGTTACAGATTAGTTGCTGCTTGTTCCGTAGTGCGAGGGAACAGCGACGGGCAACTCCAGTCCGCTGCACTCGTCCAGGACTAGTCAGGGCGCGCACCTTCACTCGCTCGGTCGCTCGTCGGCTGCTGTAATGGCAGGCGGCGTGGTGACCGAGCGGGTGCCGGCAGTGCAACGCCCGTTACATTCCTGGCACATGGACTGAGAGGTTACGTTGCAGCAGAGTCCGCCGCCCCTTCTGGCGTGCGTCCGTGTCTCTGCCTGCTCCATTGGCCTCCTACATCCCACTTGCACCGCAGCACTTGGAAGTCCCGTTTGTCCCTCATGAGTCCCAGAACCTTAGACGCACACGTTCACGTTCCGCTCCGAGCGTCACGAGTCTCGATACACTCCGATTCTGTCACTTATCCCCCATGCTTCCACCCCTACTCAGTTTCTCCATGCGCTGTGCTCCCCCGCTTGCTCTCGTGTGCTTGTTGTGTGCGTATGTCTCTGTGTCTGTGCATGCACCGTTCCCCGTATCGGTTACCGTGCCTGTGTCTGTGCGTTTGCCTTTGCCCCTATCCTCATGTCGGGCAGACGTGGTGTCGATCGCCAAGACGGACGAGAACTTCCGTCTGCTGTACGACGGCAAGGGCCGCTTCACGCTGCACCGCGTCACGCCCGAGGAGGCCAAGGTAACCCCCCCGCTCCCCCCTCCCGAATACCCCATCCCCGTCCCCGCACGCGCACGCATTCTCGCCATCTCTGCTGTTGAAAAGGAGAGGCTGCGAGGGTGTGGGAAGGGGGATTGCGCAAGCGCCGGCGTGTTGGGGCAGGGGCACGGCGCGGGTGGTGTTAGTGCTGGGGTTGAGGAGGAAGGAGGGTTTATCGGCGCGGTATGATAACCAGCGCAAGGTGTTCATGCGGCATGGTAGGCTAGAGATTCCACTGTGGTTGAGGCGGGATACTGTGCCGTTTTCTGGAGCCGTGGGGTTGAGGCTGCGTATGGGTCGCGCCGGATTCAAGGCTCTGAGTAACACGCGTCGTCGCAGAGTTGCGGGGGGTGGAGGGTTATCCTGGTTGCGTACGAGGGGTGTTTAGGCTGTGATACGCGGGGCGGCTGGTGCGGTGGAAGCGCAAGACTGGGCATGAGCGAGAGCGGATACCGCGAAGGGGGTAGTTGTGGTAGTTGCGAAGACGAGAAGCTGAGGCATGAGCGAGAGCGGTGCGGAGGACCTTTCCTGTGTCAGGTGCCGTGCGCGAAGCCGCGTGCGGAGGCTGCATCCTCGTCGTAAGCACTCCGTGCTCTCGCCGTCCCCCGTCTTTGCCATCCCGTCCTAACGCTTCCCCACTTTTGCACCTCCACTCCGCCTTTCCGCTCCCCCTCCTTCTCCCCCCTCCGTTCGCCCCGCTGCCGCGCGCAGTACAAGCTGTGCCGCGTGCGCGCCCAGCGCGTGGGCGACCGCGGCATTCCGTACATCGTGACAAACGACGGGCGCACGATCCGGTACCCCGACCCGGTGATCAAGGTGAACGACACGGTGAAGCTGGACCTGGAGAGCGGCAAGGTCGTCGAGCACATCCACTTCGACATCGGCAACCTCTGCATGGTCACCGGTGAGGACATGGGGGCTGGGGGAGGTGACATCTGCATGGTCACCCGTGAGCAAGGGGGCTGGGGGAGGTGACATCTGCATGGTCATTGGCGAGCATTATAGGGGGAGGTGCTATACGCATGGTCACTGGTAATCCCAGGGTCAGGGGGAGGTGACATCCGCATGTTCACCGGTGAGGACAGGGCAGAGGGGGAGGTGCTATCTGCATGGTCACCTGTGAGGTCAGGGGAGGTGCTATCTGCATGGGTTGTGAGCAAGGAATGATCGTGGTTTAGCATTGACTGCTGCGAAATTCTGCTGGCTCGCAGATACTGTCTTGGTTACCAGGTGCTTAGGGTTCCTCCCCTCTCCATTGGGCAGGTGGGCGCAACAGGGGGCGAGTGGGGGTGATGGAGCACAGGGAGCGGCACAAGGGCAGCTTTGACATCTGCCACATCAAGGACGCGGCGGGCCACCAGTTCGCCACGCGCCTCACCAACGTCTTCCTCATCGGCCAAGGCGCCAAGCCCTGGGTCTCGCTGCCCAAGGGCCGCGGAATCAAGCTCTCCATCGTCGAGGAAATGCGCAAGGCGCGCGCCGCTGCCAAGACCGCCGCTTGATTTAGTGCTAGTGCTGCCTTGCGGACGATGTTTGTGTCGACGGGGTGCTAGTGTTGAGGGCAAGTGGAGAATATGTGATGCTTTGTGTGCGAGTGCAATACAAGCTGTTACAGATGAAATTGCCGTAGATGCAAGTGTTGTAGAGCTCAAAAAGAGTGCGAGTCCTTGGCCTTTCCTGCACAAGCTGATCGGAACGGCATGGTATTTTAGGCAGGGAAAGTGCAGCTTCAGTTCCAGTTTCGTCATTTCCTAGGGTTGTGAAAGGAAGACTGGAGGGTTAGGAGCAGGAGTCTCATTCATCCAAGGCCATGAATACACGGTTTTCACAACCGTGCTAGTTTCGAACCGTAACGGGTTTGGGCTTTTCGCGCCTCGCTGGTTCTCCAACTGTTTCTGAATCTTGGGAATGTCGTCTCGTCAAAACTCTGTACACACCTCAGCCCGAATTGACTGACGAGTCGCCTTGAGAAAATCCCGAGTGAGGTAACACTTTAACTCTGCTGAACCGCACTGCAAACCAGCAGTTGCCTGCCAACATCACGCCAGAGCAACAGCATCAAGTGGGGGAGGAGGGGGGTACAGTTGTGTATTTCCCATGGGAGGGAATGAACAGTGTGGTAACGACGATACAGTACGAGTAGAGGACCTATCCTTCCCCATCACTTGCTTCAGATTTCTTGGTCGTTTGTTCGTTCGCTCGTGCGATTCGGAGCAAGAAAGAAGAGAATCCGGTGCTTGGGTGGATATGCATGTGCACATGGGCGACTGAACTGCACCCGTATCGTGTAGAGAAAAAGAAAGAGCGGTAGAAAGAGGTGGTGTCGAGCGGAACTGCACGATTTCTCTGCAGTACACCGGTTCAGCCGCATCGACATCATGACTCGACAGTCACGTTCGCCGCCGAAGCGTCACGCGGAGTTTCGAGCTTCCCCGAAGGTGGAGCTCGTCGTGTCACACGCACACCGCGGCAGCAGAAACGGGCACTCGCTGCTTATCGACTTCCCTTCCACACATCCACATGACGTTCGTACTAGGCGCCACCATGGGTCTCATATGGCTTGTCTGCCGTGGCAAGTCGGTCTCATCTCAGTCTTCTCCCATCCCATTGGGTCGAGCGTCGCCCGGCGAGCCCCGCCGTCGTCCGACGATGACCGCGCTGGGCAGTCGCCGTCGCCGGAGCCGGGCCGCGCTGAGTCATGGCGGCCGCGGCTCCACGCACATCACACGCGAGCCTCCCTCTTTGTTGGCAAGAGCCAAGATCGTTCGTCGTCCACTGCAGTCGAGGCTCGACTTTCAAGTTTCAGCAAGGCCGTTTGCGCCCTGTCTTCTTTATCTAGTACTAGAGCACGTCTGTGCCAAACGGCGACATGGTTCAGCTGAACCAACACTTCGTTCTCCCCCACCCGCATCGTCCTGCAAGGAGATCAATATTGGCCACTGCTACTACTGTCTCCAGGACCATTACCTCCAAGTCCAGTCGATTTTAAAGACCCTGAAAATCTCTCTAGTGGTGTTGATACTGTGCCCGCCAAGGCGTTAGGACTGCCTAGTATCGACTGCGAGTGAAAACCTTGGAAACGCAGGCCCTTCCCCAGGCGGACTGAGCAAAGCAGCCGTGAGAGCAGCTTTGAGAACTCTCAGAAGTGAAACGACCGTCGCTCCGTCTGCGCGAGTCCGTCACCGCCTCTAGTCGTTGCTCAGCTCGCCCTCCTTATCTCCGTCTTTCCGTCTGGAGAGGCATGGGCGACCGGCGCACCTTCTCCTTCCCTCCGCCGCTGCTGCACCTCCTCCTGCCGCTGCTGCTGCTGCTGCTGCTGGCGGGGCTGCTGCTGCTGCCGCCGTGCCCTGCTGCCGCCACTCGCATCAACGACGCCCAAGGTCGCTCGCTCCTCCTCCTCCTACCTGCACCTCTCCTCGCCTCCCACTCACTCCGACGCGCCCTCCTCTCTTTCCCCACTGTACCCCATCCACACTCTTCCCTTCTGCCGCTAATTTGCCTCCTCTCCCTCCAGTTCTATCCCTCTCCCCCTCTCTCCTTTGTTCTTCACCTCCCCAACCTCCCCCGCCGCTTTCTTCCTCCCCTCTTCTCTCCCTCCTCCCTGTCATGCCCCACACCACAGTCCCCACCTTGATGAACGTTTACCATTCCACTCCCCCACTCCGCTGCTATGCTCCCTCGCTGCTATGCACCCTCGCTTGCTATTCCTTTTTTCCATCCACAACCCAACTCAACACCCCCTCCCCCATTAATTCCCCCTTCCCCCTTCCCCCTCCCCTCCCCTCCATCCCCCATCCCTTCCCCCTCCCCTCCCCTCCGCCCCTATTCCTTCCCCCTCCCCTCCCCTCCGTCCCCCATCCCTTCCCCCTCCCCGATCCCTTCCCCTCCCCTCCCTCCCCCATCCTTCCCCCTCCCCTCGCCCCCCCCCCCCCTGCCTCGCCCCTGGCTTGCCCATGTCTCCCCGTTGTCTCCCCGTTGCCTCCCCGTTGCCTCCCCGTTGCCTCCCCGTTGCCTCCCCGTTGCCTCCCCGTTGCCTCCCCGTTGCCTCCCCGTTGCCTCCCCGTTGCCTCCCCGTTGCCTCCCCGTTGCCTCCCCGTTGCCTCCCCGTTGCCTCCCCGTTGCCTCCCCGTTGCCTCCCCGTTGCCTCCCCGTTGCCTCCCCGTTGCCTACCCGTTGCCTCCCCGTTGCCTCCCCGTTGCCTCCCCGTTGCCTCCCCGTTGCCTCCCCGTTGCCTCCCCGTTGCCTCCCCGTTGCCTCCCCGTTGCCTCCCCGTTTCCTCCCCGTTGCCTCCCCGTTGCCTCCCCGTTTCCTCCCCGTTGCCTCCCCCCTGTCTCCCCAATGCAACCCCCCTCCCTCCCCCCTGCTGCATCCCCCCTCCCTCTTCTATGCCTCGCCTCTCCCTCCCTTATGCCTCGCCCCTCCTTCTCCCCTCCCTCCCTCCTCCCTCCCCCCTCCCTCGCCCCTCCCTCCCCATCCCTTCCCCCTCCCTCCCCCCTGTCTCCGCCTGCCTCCCTCCTGCCTTCCCCCTGCCTCTCCCCTCCTCTCCCCTCTCCCTACCCCCTCCCCTCAAACTGCTTCCCACCCACCTGCCTCCTGCCTCCTCCCTGTCTCCCCCGTGCCCGCACCTGGCAGCGCGGGTGCTGGCGGAGTGCGCTGCAGCATGGGGATTGTCGGCGAGCAAGTGGCGGGTGGGGGGCGACTGTGAGACGGCGCAGTTCATTAAATGCGACGACAACGGGCTCGTCACTGCCATGTGCGCGCCTTGGGTGGGGAGGAAGGGAAGAGGGGAAAAGGGAGGGAGGGAGTGAGGCAGGGAGGCAGGGGGGTAGGAAGGCAGGCAGGGATGGAGGTTGGGCGGGAGGGAGGTTGGGGACGAGGGAGGGAGGAAGGGAGGGAGGGAGGGATGGAGCTAAGATGGGTCCGTACGTCCCTGGACCTACGTAAACGTAATGTTACGCGTAACATTACGTTTACGTTTACGTACACGTAAATACGCGTAACTTAGGTCCGGGCAGGAAAAAAATCCGGCAAAAAATAAAAAAAATCTGTAAATTGGCCCTGGAGAAGAGAGCATCATTGCGGCACAACCGCTCAGGGCAGCACATACAGCTGCGTACGAAATGCTATATTTAGGATTGACGGTTCTTTCATAACCGTTATGCTATATTTAGTGACTATCTACCTCGCTATTTAAATTCGCAGCACCAACCATCTTTTAGATCTTAACTTAGGTCGTACTTAGGAACTCTAGGATCTAGGTTAGAGGATCTAGAACGGAGATCTACGTAGAAGATGTGAGGATTAGGTCGTGGATCTATAGCTCTAGCATCGAGCGTAACCTTCAGAGCCCCGCGTAAGTCACGGGGCTGGAACATAAGGCCAGGTGGGGAGGTCGAAGTGATGACACTGGGGGGGGGGGGGGGGACGTTGACTCGCGATTTTGAAATTGGAGGGGAAGCCCGAAGCGTTTTTGTGCACTAGCAGAAGTAACGCGTCACAAAGTGACGCGCCGATACAAACAATGGTCGGCGACAAAATTTCTGGCTGGAAATTGTATTCTCGTAGCTTGAACCATAACATTATCATAGATAATGTTAATGCCAACTTTCAATCCCAGGGAAAATTTTATGACCCGGGCAGCTGAAAAAAAAAATCTGCCCGGAAACGTAAACTCATTCTGGAACCTTGTACGTAACGTAAAACGTACGTAAACGTAAACGTAAAACGTACGTAAACGTAAGCGTAATATCCAACTTAGGGATGGAGGGAGGGAGGGAGGGAGGGAGGGAGGGAGGGAGGGAGGGAGGGAGGGAGGGAGGGAGGGAGGGAGGGAGGGAGGGAGGGAGAGAGGGAGGGAGGGAGCGAGGATATGGGGGGAATGGGGGAACATCATGGTTGCTGTGGCCCACATAGGCAACTGATATGCTGTCAGTGTGTTGTGACTGTGCTTCACTCTTCTGCTGCCTCTGTGCATGTGTGCATGCGTGCGCGCGCGCGTGTGTGTCTGTGTGCGCGTGCACGCTTGCACTCGCGCGTGTGTGTGAGTTTGCTTGTGTGTGTGTATGTGTGACCTCAACACAACACAACAGGTGGATGGGTATGCGTGGTCTACGTGGCTCCATCCCAACAGCTCTAGGCACTCTTACCTCTCTCACCCACCTGTACGCCTCGCACCTCTCTGAGACTCTGTACGCATCTCACCTCTCTGTACACTTCTCTCACCACCAAATTTTATATAACCCTATGCCTCTCCAAAACGATACTTGCCTGCACTTCGCAGCGCAGCGCCTTAATTCTCTCACCACTCTCTAACCACTTGTGCCGCCCTACACCGCACTGCATGTTTTCACTACAACACTTCATTCTTATACATAGCCCCTACGGCCTCTCCCCTAGGCCCACTGCAAATATCTACCTCCCTTCTCTCCTCCCTCTGCCTGCACGCACCCCATCGCACCCATTCGCTGTGTGGGTGTTTTGAGACGTCTTGAGGCTATTTCTGTATCACACATCTAGGGGACCCTGTGTGTGCCGTAGCCCTTTCCAGGCACTATTCAATTATCTCTTTATTGTCGTGTCTCACCCCATCCTCACTCGCTGCCTCTTTCCACCCTCCCTGTATTATGCTGCAGTCTTTTCTGCAATCTATGCTACAATCTAGGCTGCTGTCTATGCTGCAATCTATGATGCATTCTATGCTGCAACCTGAGCTGCAGCCTGAGCTGCAATGCCTAACCCTCTGCATGCACCACAGTAACCTTCTTGCGTGCTGCAATCCCCAGGAGGGTTCTGCAGTAACCCTTTTCAAGTGCCTCACCAGCCGTACCGCTCCCTGCCGCTGTCCTCTGTTCCCCCTCCCCCCTCACTGCCCCATCCCGCTTTCTGTGTGCTGTGCTGCCACGCGCGCAGAAGCTTGTCCGGCAACGGCCTGGAGGGCTCCATTCCTGCATCTTTCAGCGCGCTCGCCTCGCTCGTCTACCTGTGAGAGGCAGGGGGGCACGTGTCGGGCGGTGGGAGGAAGGGAGGGAGGGAGGGAGGGAGGGAGGGAGGGAGGGAGGGAGGGAGGGAGGGAGGGAGGGAGGGAGGGATGGAGGGAGGGAGGGAGGGAGGGAGGGAGGGAGGGAGGGAGGGAGGGAGGGAGGGAGGGAGGGAGGGGGAAGGAAGGGAGGGAGCGAAGCAGTGTCAACTGCTGTCCCGGTCCCCATCACTGTTGCCAAATCCCGTGCCGCTGGCGGCAAATGGAGGGCAGCGGGCCTCCCCGAAGGCGCAACAAAGGCAGCAAGCTCTTCTACCGCCACCACACAGGGAGGCCGAGGCCTCAAAGCAAAGCTGCTCATCGAGCTTGCCAGCATGGCCTCGTGTCAGCTCTCTGGGATCTCCACCTGCAGGGTTTAGGGTCTTACCCTAAACCCTTAAGGACGTGCTGACACTCCGTCAGCAGCAACAGCCGCTCCAGGGTCTCCATGCCAGCCGAAAGACGGGTGCCCTGGGGTGGTCGGACTGTGTGCTGGTGCCCTGCACTCAGCTGGCCAGCAATGGATAGGCTGGTCGCTTGGCGGCCAGAGCTGGAGTAAAAGTCTTTGGAGGGTGGGAGCTGAGGGCGTCCACCACCCCAGCTCAGGCTCAGGCCTCCTCTCTCCCTCTATCCCTCTCTCCCACTCCCCACCTCTTGCTATCTGATTGGCAGTGATTTGGAGTCCAACGCGCTAAGCGAGTCCATTCCAGATGCCATCTCGCACATGACCACTCTTAGACGCCTGTGTGTGCCATGCCATTCCATTAGAGCCTCACATATCCCTTTTGAGAATTCTCAAATGTCATTTACTTCGCGCCTCACATCACCCGTGCATTCGTTGCACCCACGCTGCATGTGCTCCTATGTGTCACCGTACCTTTTCTCACGTCACGCCATCGCCTCCCATGTCTCATGAATCAATGCATGAACAGCTATGTCATGGTTGTTTGCTCTCACCATCCTCCTTCATGTGCCTTCACAGCCCACCCAGCAGCTTTCAGTGCTCCACCTCCTAATATTGCTCCCGTGCTTCCCTTGCATTTCTCCTTCCCATGCCTTGTCTCACTCCCATGCCATCACCATGCCTCCCTACGTGTAATGTCAATGCCCCTACGGCCCTCCATCTTCGATGTTCCGCATGTCCCCATCGCAGCTATCTCCCCGACAACCAGCTCTCTGGTGCCATTCCCCCAACCATAGGCACCCTCACGGCCCTCCGATCCCTGTAAGTGTGCCAGTCATTTGCAACCGAGCAGTCATGCAGATTTTGTCACGGTTTCTCAACAGTCGCGACGAAGACACTTCGGAAGGTCGGCACTTATAACCTTGGGTGTTTTACTTTGGGTGTGTTGGTGAATGCCCATTGTTTTTCAAACATACCAAAATAAAAGACTCACCCTCGTACTAAAGACCTCGGGGTCTTTCACTGTGGGGGGTCTTCTATCCGGGGGATTACGGTAGTCCTTATGTCATACCATGCTATGGTTCCTGATTGTTCGGATTGCGCGAGTACCTGCAAATTCATTAAGCGAAAATGGTAAAAGATAACAAACGCATGAACACACTGAAGATCCTTCCTTTGGACTGTCTAGGAGTTGTCCACGCACCATCATTAGCCTTTCAAGTTTCAACGAGTGGACTGCATTGGCTGTCAAGAGATTCCGCGACAATTTTGCTGAAGGCGAAAATCACGCTCAAGAAGATGAAGGAACTCGACAGCCAACTAGTAGACATGGGCATTTGGCCCGGACGGGTCGGGTTACCCGACCCGACCCGCCTTTTTGGCTGGGTCGGGTCAGGTATGGTGGGAAGGTCGACCTGCCCGGGTCGGGTCGGGCCTACCCGGCCGGGTCGGGTCGACCCATGACCCGTCAGTGTCATTTTTTCACGGGTATCAGCGACCCGTCCGGTCGGGTTGACCCGACCCGTCCGGGTCGCGTCCCGTGTCAAGACCCAGGGATGCCCGACCCGTCCCGTGCAATGTTTAGGGTACTCTAGGGAACATCAGTTTGGTTGGATGTTGTTTTTTGTTGCTCGACTTCCACTTCCAGGCTCTAGATCTAGTTGAACGCTTACCTACCTACCTTCCCTTTAACTCTCATTCATTCACTTTAGGGTTACTACTCTTCCTTCCTCTCAAATGTAGATCTCATAAGGCCACCATAATCAGCAAGGCATCGATACTGCACCCTCCACGGGCAAAGACGCTGTAGCTGTGAGCGTGACAGTGTTTAGGAAACGTCAGCGAAATGTACCCGGTTTCGAGCGCGCCACTGTTCACCAAATCGCATGCACAACAGCTAACATGCGCGCCCGATTAGGCATAGGCGCGCGCGCAACTTCGCAGCGTCGCGCGTCCAGGGGAGCAGCAGCGCGAGCGCGAACCCGGAGAAGCTCGATCGCCACCAGACAGAGTCGCGGTCACCACCAACAGCAGCGCGAACGCCACCATCAGGGTTGCGATCGCCACCAACAGCTACGCCTGCTTTTAACAATTTCCCTAAACCCTAAATATTTCAGACCCTGCTTTTACCCGACCCGACTTGACCCACCCTATAATCGACCCAGGGTCGGGTCATAGATACCTGTGGACCTTGGGCGGGTCGGGTCCCAAAATCAGGGTCAATCTTGACCCGCCGACCCGACCCGACCCGACGCGTGGCTGTCTCGGGTCGCCCTAGTCGGGACGGGTCGGGTCGGGTCGGGCCAAATGCCCATGTCTACAGCCAACGATGGTTTCCTCTGCAAGGACAAGTCCAATTCATCCATCACAGAGATTTACTTAGGGATTCACTTTATCACCTTGAAGGCTATGGAGTCACGTGTTACAACTTTGGTCCATAAAAGAACCTGAGTGCTAACCGCGATGTATTGGTTACTGATAGGCAGGAGCAGAACACCGAATCAGAACGGATCGGTTTTTTTTCCCCGTTACTCTCCTGGTCGGTTCGAGGTGCGATATATATGGGTCAAATTTGACCTTAACATTCTCTATAGTCATATTTGATGCAATGCTTGGAAATTCACGCCATTCAACCGTGGGAATAGTCTAGAACTTAATGGGAGGGTGCAAATATGTATAACTGTAAGGAAAATTCCTTTTCCTTACTTCGCGCCCCTGCTTACCGCGTACATAACCATTCCCGCCATCAGCACCCAACAGTGAAACGTTACCCGCTCGCGACACTCGCCTCGACCACGACTCCCGCCACGACCACGACTCCCGCCACTGTTCACGATGCGACCCAACCTAACGGTTCGGTTGGTAACCCGCGCTCCGGACCTCCGCCTCGACATTTCCCAACCTCGGCGCTAGGCCCGTAGCGCACCCCATTTTCTCGCGTCACCGTTACCACGCTAGCTTCGCTATATATTCTTCGCTCATGCCTTCGCTCATTGTATTGTTTGCTTCGGTAGTGCAATTCTCGCTCGCTCGCTCAATTGCACTCGTAACATTTGGTATCAGAGCCTACGATCTCTTCTCGGACCGCACCCACACCTTCGCTTCCCCAGTATCTCATTTTTTGGAGGGGGTAGACGTCTCTCAGCGTTCAGGCACCGCCGCTCGAAAGCACGCACGGCCACGACTGAGGCTCTCGCTGAGCTTGCCCGACACCCCCGCCATGGCCGACCTCAATATCGCAACGTTGACGCAGGAGCAACTCGACCGGCTCGTCCGCCAACTCGAGGATTCGGCGCTTGAAATCGCGACACTCACGGCGGAACGTGACTCCGCCCGCCAGCAATCAACGGTGAATGCAACAGCACCAACACAAGCACCTGCAAATGCACCTGCGCAATCGGATGAGCCGATTGTCATCTCATCCGTCACACCGTCACATCACGACAGCGTGGGACAGCGCTCAGGCGCAGCCAGTGATGGCGCCGCCCAATCAATGCCCGGCATGGAGAGAAACAGGGCCGCACCAAGCACGAGCGGGCCTCGTGAAGCCCGTCGTCACGTCGAATTTGCAGCAACAAGCGGTAACGACAACATCGTCGTACCGATGCCGCTCAAGCCGCAACGCCCGCCCTGCTTCGACCCTAGCCAATGTGGAGGTCCGACGGTTTAATCGTGGGTCTTCACGATGAACGTCTTCTTCGACGCGAATTACGTCGAGTCGGACGCAGCGAAGATAGGATACGCCGTTTCGCTGCTACGGGGCCCCGCCATGGACTGGTGGCGAGTCATCGTGACGTCGCCACGCGCCTACGAGTCGCCGTCGCAAGAGGAAGGGCCCACGGGTCCAGCCGTCACCTGGAGTTCATTTTGCGAAACCGCCCAGTACAGCACGTGGGATGCGTGGTGCGCAGGGCTTCGAGCCGATCGCGGCTTCTATCTCAGCGCGTCAGAATCTGCGTACTTGGCGACAACTTGGGTCGGTACAAGATTACACGAGTGGTTTTCTCGCACTATGCGAGCAAGTCGGCTACATGCATGAGGCGGAGCGGGTGGACCGTTACGTCGGAGGGCTGAAGCCGGACATCTCGCACGAAATCATGCTAAGCGGGCTATCGAATTTCAACGAGATCCTCGCGCTCGCCGAGAAAATCGACATTTTGCGCCGTCCGAGACCGGGGTCCTACTACGGACATCGCCCTCAGGGGCCGACCGAGCACGCCACCGTACACGCCGTTGCGGCGAATGCAGCTGCTGCGCCATTCAAGGGGCGCTGCTTTGCTTGCAATAGGTCGGGCCATCACAAGAGTGAATGCCCAGAGGAGCAGAGACGCCGCGGAGCAGAGCAGGGGAGGGAGTCTCAGAGGCAGGGAAACGCCAGCAGTCAGTAGAAAACGGGCCAACTACTGACGAGACAACCTGCTCGCCCAACCTCACCGACCCTCACCGAGTCACAGTACCGATTCACGCCATCGATCGGGCTCGGATGAATAAGGAAGGTACAGCGACGGATTGTCCAATACTGATTTACGAGAAAATACAGGGGACAGCAGTGAAGTTTTTTATAGAC